GACTGCAGTAAACCAGGAACATGTTCTGAAGGCTGAAGAACTAAGTTAGATCTTAGAATGACATCATTAATAAGGTTCATTGTTTAGCACTATAAACTAATCAGGATGTATTTCTTTTACATTTTGAACTTTCAAACACTGTAGTGACCTGCTTAACAAATTACTTTCTATAGTTTTGTGTGTGATGGATTTAATTTGATAAAAAAATATTTAAAATGAGATGGACATGTTTTCTTTATTATAGGGCAGCCATGTTGGATTTTTGAGGTTAGGATCATAAAATCTCTGATTTGTCTCCTTAACGTTCTGGATCCTTTGGGACCAGTCCTTTAATTTTATTTGTATTTACATTTTTAAAAGCATCATTGAGCAAATTGGAGAAGTAATTAAGCAAAAAGTATTATTAGTTTGTAAATATTGATATGGCCAATAACTTTCAACTGTTTTTCTCTCTTGTTCCTATTTTTCCCTTAATTCTCCTCTTAGGAGTTGATTAAAAACTCTTGGTTCTGAGCAATGACATATTCTTCATTACTTTTTTTATGTGGATGGTACTAGTTTGTCCTGCATCTCTCAGCAGATTGCTGCGATGCTTCAGATGAATACAACAGCCATGTTCGCTGCCAGAACACTTGCTGGTAAGTTGGATCCAAACAAAGATTCACTACCTTTTTTTTGTCTTTTTTTGTTCTATTTTTTACCTGGAACAGATCATCTGAGGTATGCATTCTTTCTTTTTTTTTATTTCTGATGTAGACTGCTTTTAAAATGATGATTTTATTCCAGCCACTGCCTTAGGGGTTGGAACAGCAGTGGTAACTCAATAGTTTTCCCACCAGGGGGCAGTGTATCTCTATCATTAAACAAAAAAATAAGGTTTGGCTTGGTGTGGAGATGTGGAGTAAATGCATGTAAAGAGGAATCCCACTTCACTGGTTCCTTTTATTTCTTTACATAAAACTTAGATACTGTTCATCCTAAGAAGGAAGTCTTTGAATTATATGATTTTTTTTTTATTTATTTAAATGAAAGGATAATTTGTTATCTCCTCTCATGCCAGGTTTGACCTTTCTAAGATGCAGGAATGTAAGTTGCTGTGTCAATTTACACCGCCGCTTCGTTTGTTGACAGTCCCCTATTTGTTTCATCTATCTCCCACCTGCCTAAAATGAAACCCACATAGAAGCAGCGTCTATCTCATTATGTTTCTGCAAGGTCCCTGCTCACATTCTGTTTGCCAGACTTCAAAAATGATTTAGCTCCACCACCAACCATCTTATTTACTCCTCTGTTTTATTTAACCCCAGCCCATTTGGATTTTTGCTGCATGGCAGGCTCTAGAAAAATGAATTGCAGCATCTTGGATGACCAAAGCCTGGGTCACTGAAATTTTCCCCCTTAATGGTGGTTCAGTGTGTCCCCCTTTTCTCACCATTTTTTCCAGGAATCTGGGACAAAAAGAGCGAGCATACGTTGAGGGTCAGATGAAGACCTTGGACGAAGGTTTGAGACTCAAACAGCAGCTGATTGAGGAGGGGGTGCTGCTCTGGAGGGAGAAACAGGTAATTTGATTAAGTATTTAAAAAATGAAGTCAAGATGCGAAATAAAGTAGCATGTCGTCTGGGCTACATAAGATCAGGACAACATTTAGCTTTCTTCTTTTGGTTTATAACTATGAATCCACCTTTTTCTGTAAGTTTTTGCACCTCAGCTCATGAAAGCAATGTGAGCATCCAAATCCAGTAGAGTTTTGGCAGAATCATAAGTGGTTGATTTATAAAAGCCTTGAAAGTTGGAAAGCATTCGTCTTGATATTTACTACCTTATCAAAACTGTATTAAAACTTCATTTGTGAAATTGAATCAATTACTTCTACTCTGCATATTGCGCAGCTCCCATGTTCCTTATTTCATCACTAATTGTTTTAAGATGCTCTAATAAATCAGCTGTTGACCAACGACGGACCATTTCCAGCCTGACTTAGGCGACGTTCACACCGCAGCCTGAAGTGGGACCCAAATCCGATTTTTTTGCCCACATGCAACCTGGATCTGATATTTTCATGGCATTCTGAACAACAGATCCGATGTTTTCCAATCAGACCCAGGCCACTCGGCTATGTGGTCCTGAATCCGATACGAATCAGATTTTTCAAAAGCAACCTGTGTCTGAACGGCCAGGTCACATTCATCCGACCTGAACGCCATTAGTAACCGACGTAGGTCACTATTCTGCTTCTTGCTGCACAGAAGCGGCAAGAAAAACAACAACCATGGCAGACATTTATGCGAAGAGCAGTATTTTTTTTAAACATCTTGAAAAGATTTAGGTCTGAAGGCTTGCAAAGATCGCTAGATGGGCTCCGGCACTACCATCCAGTTTACTTCCGTAAACACGAAGCACGCTGGATTGTGACCTCATTGCATCCTCTACTGCGCATGCAGGACACTTAAAAAAATCTGATTTGATAAAAAAAATTTGAATTAAGCATCAATGCCTGCAGTGTGAACATAGCCGTACTTCTGCAAAACTACAACTGGATTTTAGTTGGTTTGTTCTGAGGACCAACAGGTCTTATGGGGACCGAGGGCTGGTCCTAATCAGGTGGACCCACATTTTTAACTTTAGAGAGTCAGTTTAGACATAAAGTCTGGATTAACTTTAGGTCAAAGGGTGTGCGGAGTACTTTTTAAAGGACTCTCGACTTAAAAAAAGAGCCTGCATGCGGCAATTTCTCCCCGTGCATGCCCTGTTAATGCATAGACATACAAACTTGTGTGTTTTGTTAAAAAAAAAAGAATAATTAAATACTTCTTTAATTTGTGCTTTTTTGTAATGTTTGTATAAAATCTGATGCAAACATTCCAGAAGATCTAAAACCACTCTTCGGTGTAGATGTTGCCTGTTAAGGATCTTGTTCTTTGAGTTTGTTAAATAGAGCAGGACAAAGCAAGTGGATGAAGCTATTTTAAAGAAAATTTTTTTTTTTTTGAATAAGATCTGTGTAGTTAAAGCCGCTTGCTAGAGAGAGAGAGATATTAGGAAAGGGGTTTGTTTTTTTGCACCTTGAATCTTTTAATCTCTGTTGTAGAATATTTTTAAGTCAAATGCTATTTAAGCTAGTCCCTCATCCGTTAAAGTCCCTTAAAGTCGCAGGGAAGTCATATTTAAATGTCAAATCATTCTGGCTTAAACATGTATATAATAATACTCTTTATCAGACCATATTGTCCCAGAAGTTAGAAAATTTGTCCTAAAAAAAAATTCCTGTCTTAAAATCTGTGTTTCTTTTCCTTTATCTTTTGCAGGCCAGTTACTTATACGTCAGCTTGTTTACCTAAATTCGGCCAATCATATATCAACGGTCATATGTCAATCAAATATTGTCTTGTTTTTCATTTACATTTTTAAATGTTTTTAAAGCGTTTACAAATAATGACTCAGAATGCATGAAAATGACACTGGTAAAATGTTTACCGATATAGACATGTTAGACATCGTTGCAAAGCTTACATTCTCCACAATTCAGCCACATAGTTCATTTTATGCACGTAGCGAGTACCAAAGCATATAGCGATATAGCAGCATCTCAAAATGTAGCATGACAAAGCAGCCACAACAAGCAAGCATGTCTTTATTACTGCTGTTCAAAAAAGTCCTATTATGTTCGAGAATAAAAAAAACAAAAACAACTTAGAGTTTTGTTTGAACTGATGCAGCTTGGGCTTGATGCCCAATTTTCATGTATATATTCAGAAGCTAGAAGGTGTTGGATTTCAAATAAGGTATCACACTTGTAATTTGGGCTTACAGTTCCTAATTATTTGCTTTTCCATTTAGGTATGCAAAAGAGGCGAGAATTTCCCAGGTGGATATTAGGTTAAATTTCAGCCTGTCATTCAGATCATCTTGTCCTTGTTTTTAGGCAATAAAACCAGATCTCTCTTACTCATGGTGCTTAACTACAGTAGCAGCCATTCAAAATGGTTCTTCCCAGTCAAACGCCAGCTGAATGGCAGCCCACTTCCCTACAGCTCCCATCAAAACCCCCTGCAACTTCCAGCCACTGACCTTCACCTGGGCGTGCATATTTTTTTACTCTGATTCAACCCTTTCACTGAATTACAGGGTCTGACCAGGACAAAACACTTCTCTTCAGATCTTAATGTCCACAAATCATGAAAGAAAGAATATTTTAGTAAAAAGATTGATGTTTAAAAAGGAATTATTGGGGACCATCAAAGGGCTCATCAAGGAAATTGGGGAAACTTTGAATGGCTAATACTGTAGGTGATCAATGAACAATTTGGCTAAAATGAGTTCTACCAGATCTAAGCCTTTCAAAGACTCAAGATAGAAAATTGGCCACCAAACTGTGACTGGTGCATCTCTTTCGTGTTGAACTGGTTGAATTGCAAATCAAATGTTATTTTTGATGCTTTGCATATTTAAAAAAAAATTATTCAAGTGGTTTGTTTTATGTTTGTACCTGCATTAAATTAAAGATTAAACTTAAATTATCCAATGAGAGAAACCCAGATAAAAAACCCTAGGAAAAAATATGGGATACTATATATTCCCTAAAGCCCTGGGTTAAGTTAAAAACAAAATATAATGAGGACAAAATTTGCATCTCCAGTCCTAATTTTAGAGCGTTTACTTGAAACCAAAACCATGTGAACATTCTGACAGTAGGCCAAAATAAAAAAATAAAAAAAAAACATATGTTTTTTTCCCCCTAAAAATCTCATAGAAATGTGCATGTCTGCTTCTAGTTTTCTGCGTCTTGTGAAGATTGTGTTTGTTTTTGTTTTCCTTTGCACATCGAATTAACTTTTCACCTCACTTGCTTCTTATTGCCACATTGTAACTGCACTGTTATCACCTGGCTAGCTGGCTAACACACTTGAGGAATGGGGGACGTCGAGGTTAATTTCCTTTCAGATGTGCAGGATTCTGAGGATTTCTCTTTGGAGCAGCTTGTGCTCTGAGGTGCTGTTTTATGTGTGCATGTTCACAGCACCTGCTGCTTCATACACCTGTTGTACAGTCAGAGCCAGATTATAATGCAAACCCTACTTGTCTGAATGTTCTTCTTTCATGAGCATATAGATTATTCCTGTCACTGATATCTGCATATTATGGTTTATTTTATGGATTTCTTCATTATAAAATATTCAACGAAGCAATGTAAACTCTAATGCAATGTTTCAAAACATTGTTTTTGCACTGAATAACTCATCCAGCAAAAAACAGCAGTTATTCTAGGTAATTTTATTGAAAATAGAAGATTAGTTTAGATATGTATATATGTATTTAATATCTCAAAGGAGACAAAGGTTTTATTTGACCACTTGACGACAAATTTACTGTTTGCAGATCACCTAAGCTTCATTCTGTGATGGTAAGGGTCATGAATGTAAACTAAAGACCAAATTAATGACATTTAAATCAATATAAAATGCTTTTTAGAAACTATTACATGCAGAAGAGGAAAGTCTGCTGACAGCTTTTTTTTTAATCTATAAGGCTTTGCAAATTCAAGGAGGTAGAATCAACATTTAACTACAGTAGGGCTGCAAATAACGATTATTCTGCAAATCAATTCATCTGTCAATTATTTTTCGATGAATCGATTACTAACGATAACCGAAGGTTACTTAATGAAGATTTTTTACAAAATTAAATGAAACTATAACCTTTCCAGTTGAGGACTACTGGATAGAGCAAACTGATAGATGAAAAGTTTTTTTTTTATCTTAAATGCAAATTTTACAATCTTTGTACAATTGCTGCTATAATGTGTTCCTCTGTCAACTAAAGGCATGTTTTACAGTTTCTATACTCCAGTTAACGTAAGTTGATGATTATTTCAATTATCGATTAATCTGATTGATTATTTCAGCCCTAAACTATAGCAATCTATTGATGCATTGCTTTTGGCTATTTTGATACTGTTTTTTTTTTTTTTTTATTGTAAAATCATTTCAGTTTGAGCATTTGGCATTGTTTCTGCCAGGTATTCAAGGTTGTCTGTTTTCATAGATTGTTTTGAGTTTCTAGGCATGTGTCTCCCTCTGATTTTAGGATGTTTACATTTTCTGTCATAAATTTCAACAGAGAACTTGTAGGGCTGAAACAATTCATCGGATTTAACCTGATTAACTGATTATTGAATTAATTTTCAACTAATTTACTAATAAATGAATCGTTAACCGGAGTATAGAGACTCTAAAATGTGCCTTTAGCTGACAGAGCGACCCATTTAGAGCAGTAATTATACCAAAATTGTAAAAAAAAATATGTAAACATTTTGCATTTAAGATAAAAATCTCTTCTGTGTGTCAGTATGCCCTATCCAGAACTCCTCAAGTGGAAAAGTTTGAGTTTCACCTGGTTTAATGTCACAAAAAGTCTTCTTTAAGGAACCTTAGGCAATCCGATTACCAATTGATTCATCAATAAAATAATCAACAGATTAATCCAATAAACGTTTTAAAAAAACGCCCTACTGTAAGTATGTGTCATGTCACGTCTTTTGTCCCATCACTCGTACCTGTTTTTGTGTCCATGCTATTGCCTGCCTGAGTCTGATTCTCATGGGTTAAACATTTCGGAGAACATCATTTCATATCTTTGATTATTGCTAAACTTGAGATAAAAAAATGTATAAGATGCTGAAAGTATAGCAAAACTGTTTTGTAAGCTCTCTATATTTAACTTGAACAAAACTTTAGTCCTGAAGGCAAATTTGATATTCATTCATCTAAATGTCCTCCAGAGGGATTATTTTTTGAATATGACTACATGAATTTGAGCATTGTAAGAAAATTTGATATTATTTCGGAAATGCAATTTCATTTTTATTAATTCTAGATAAATAGATGGATATTGTGTTTTCTATAGATTTATTTTCGCACACAGGGATAGATTTAGAGTAGCTGACTGCTCACACATACAGACACCTGGCATTATTATTGCCTCTAGGATCAACATAAAAAAGATTTTGAACAATTGTCGATAAGTGGATTTGAAATTAGGCAATATGGTTTGAGTTTTGTTTTTCCTTTTTTCTCTTTCATTTATTAAAAAAGTCTAAAAATATGGGCCAACAATCACCCACTGCCGCTTTAAAATGTGTTCTTCAGACATTCATTGATGCTGCTGCACATTTTGCAGCTCTGTGACTTTTTATGGATTATATTAAAATGCTCTGTTTAGAATTCACCTATTTTCTAGGCCACTTTAAGCAGAGCACAGAACTGTTTTTGTTAAGGAGCAATTTTAGAAATCTGTTTCACTTGCTAAACATTTTGCTTGTAATGAAACTTCGTATGGAAAAAAAGGCTTTTCTGGCAATTTTCCAGACACCTTAAGTACAGTTTTTTTCTCTTTACCAACAGTGTTTTTTTTAAATAACATCTATACTTGAATTCCCCCCCATGATTTTTCTTCCTGCCAGCTGAATGGCAGATCCAGGCTAAAGCTTCCCCCAGTTCTTCACTGTCTCTCTTGATATTGCCAGTTTACCTCAGTACCATTGTGCAACTGAAATGTGAACTCTTCCTGCTCATGGTTACCAACTTCTAGACAAATCTTCTGTTATCAAGTTTTTTTTGTGTGAAATTTTAGGATTTAATTAAAATTAATCTTTTCACCAAATGTTAAATAAAACAGCCTTTCATGCTGAGCTTGAGTTTCATTGTTTATTCCAAGCTTAGTATTTGAGTTCGAACCACGACAATGATTGAGGGGTGGGGATTGCTCATTTTGATCAATATTTCAAATTCTTCAAATTTTGTCAATTTCAGAAAGAAGTACAAGTGTAGTTTTATGTTTTTGCTATTCCAAAAGTAGTAAAAAATATATATATAAATATAATACTTAAATTCTTGTAGCTGTTTGACTTTTTTCGGTTTCTTTTCAGGATGCAGAGCAAAACTTCTTCAAGAAAAACTAACTTCACCCAATATTTTAATTGTTTTTAAAAGCTTTTAGTGATTTTCCACATCCTAGATGACTAAGAAGCTATAACAGCTTTTTAGCTTAATCTAACAAAATAACTTATTGACTTAAGGTCTTGATCTTACACATCAATGCTTTTGGAACCTAATTCCTATTAGGTTGTTTATAGAAATTTCTTTATAGGCGTTCCTTCCATTTTAGTTGTGTTTTTGCAAGTAGAAATCTTCTTTTGCTCTTGTAATAGAGCCCATAAATCACTGCTGCAGACTGAAGGTTCCCAAGCAAACGGCGTGGCCTAGAAAGGTAGTCATCCCTGGCTGAAACGCCCAGAATCCATCAGTGCATCACCATCGTCTCTGAGGAGAGAATGGAAAGCAGAGTCGACACACAAATCCACGCATGGACACACATTTTCAGAGAGGAAGCTGGTCCTCTTTGATGCAAATTGCTCTGTTACAGCGAGTGATGATGGGTTGTGTTTGGGGTGTGATCAGCTGTCAGTCTGATCAAGCTGATTTTAAAAGTCTATACTGATGCACAAACAAACACTGTTGAAAATGTTTTAGTTTATAAAAAAGGGGATGTTGTGGTAAGGAGGTGGGGATGTAGAATTAAAAAGAAACTAAAATTGTATAAGGAGAGAAGAGTCAGAAAAAAGTTGCAAGAGGTTACAAAAAATAGACACACAGCCTGTGTTTTGTGAACATTTTTTTTTTAAACCTCTACAATGCAAAAAATAGTAGTACATCACAGATGAAATTTATATAAGAACTTTCATTATTTATAAGACCCTAACAGTTGTGGCTCCAAACACTTGGACTGTTCTCACTACTGACCTCTGGGAAGATGCAGCATTCGATGCAGGACCAGCAGGTTCTGCAATAGCGTTTTCCTCGCTTCCATACGACTGTTGAACTGTTGAAACTCTAATCAAGACTCTGCATTACACTTGAAAACATTATATTTTCACTACCAGCTTGGCTGATTTTTATTTTTTAATCCCTTTAAATAGAACACAACTCAATGTTCTACTGCATTTTGCACCATATTTATTTCTTTTGCGCTGCTCTGAACCTTTCCATATCGCTGCCTTTTGGACCATGACTTTAAATGGGTTTTACCTTTCTCCTGCACTGCTTATTCTTGATCAGTGCTGCACTTTCTAAATGGAAATGTGCATTCCACTGTTGTAAGCTGCTCATTCACTAAAAAGCTATATGCATCGATATTTACAAAAAGTTTGTCGAAGTCTTAACATTTAGCTGGACTGACTGTTGAAATAGCGGCATACCCCTAGGACAGACCTATAAATAGTATCAAATACCTGTCTCATGATTTTTGAAAATGCAAATTAAATTTGACTTTTTCACATTTATATCTCAATAAAAACAAATGTATTATGTTCAATCAAGCATAAATACATGCAAAAAGGTTTGACGCGACTAGAGTCGACCTCGGCAGATGGCCGCTCACACTGGGTCTAGTTCTGATGGAGGTTTCTTCCTGTTAAAAGGGAGTTTTTCCTCTCCACTGTCACTACAAGCATGCTTAGTGTGAGGGATTGCATTTGAGTCAATAAGTCGATGCAATCAACTGGTTTTCCTTAGATAGAAAACTTTGAATCAATTTGACTGTATGATCTGGTGAACTGTAAAGTGCCTTGAGATGACATGTGTTCTAAATTGGCGCTATAGAAATAAACTGAATCGAATTGAATTAGAAACCTGACAAGATTAATCAACATTAACCTGTGATTGCAGCAAAAGGTAGTACAGTAGCAGCCATTCAAAATGGCCCTTCCCAGTCAAACGCCAGCCGAATGGCAGCCCACTTCCCTGCAGCTCCCAGCAAAATCCCTTACAACTTCCAGCCACTGGAGTGACCCCCTCCTTCGCCTGTGCGTGCATATTTTTACTCTAACCCCACTTTCCAGTTTTTAAAGAATGTTTTCATTTGTCGTGGTCTTTCTTGCAACATCTCAGTAAAATACAATATAGTTCACGGTGTTGACATTGGAAAAGTAAAAAAATAAAATTACTTTTCTAATACTATTCAAAGTGTGGCATTGAGGTCAGATTCAGACTTTAACATTAGGGTTTGATTGTGATCTAAAGAGGAAAGCCCTAGTTAACAGTGACCATCTATACATCCTATGTAAGTAGGGCGCGTGTGTTATAAGCAGCCTTTGATAGGTCCAACATGTTTAGTATTGAACGACCCCATTCGGTCTGAAAAATCTGCTCTGTATCGATTGTGATCTAATTCCTTCTTCTGAAGGAAAAAAAAAAAAACATCCTTGGAAAAAAACGATTGATATTTTTTTTTTTTTTACCTTTCAAACACTTCTGGAGAAAGCCATTATTGACATTTATTTATAAAAAAAAGATAGTAAGACTCCCTAGAAAAAAAATCCATGGCCCTGCCTGCTGAAACTTTATAGCGTTAACGCAAAATATAGTAAGACTAAAAGGCTATGCATGCTGGCAAGGACACTTACAGCTCTGGCATAGGAATGCAGAAATCTCAAAGTTCTTAAATTATAACAATGAAAGTTTGATCTAATCATGTTTGCCTTGTTGTCTCTCTGCAGGCGCAGCTCAGGGAGCTTCAGCGGGCTGCTGAAGATCTGCAGATCAAATTAGAGGAGCAGAGGAGGAGGAAACATGAGGCTGACCGACTCAAAGAGCAAACATTAAAGGGTCTGGAAGCAAGGAATAAAGGTAAGAGCGCGTCTATTTTTAGAAACCCACTTCAAGACGCTTGCTCATTTCACAGAATTGTTCCAGTTTATATAGTTTGCGCCTTCATTTTGGCCACAGGGCAGCTTCCATCTCATGTCTGCCCGGCCTTAATGGAGCAAAAGTAAACAGACTGAGCAGCACTGGTGAGGTTGTTGAACATCAGAGGGGGGGAAACTGGAAATGTTAAGTGCAGTTTCCTCTGCAGTGGAAATTAATTGACTTGGAGAAAGATTGCTGAGCAGCTGCAAACTTCATTCCCTCCGCTCTCCTTTTACATACCTCAGACCTTCAGAGAGACGTTGCATATGAGTCACAGGAAAATTCCCTTATCGCTGCGAGCACAAGCTGGATGGCATTTAAGCCACGCTCTGACTCGTGCTTGTGTTGCTACAGAAAATTGTGAGGATAAAAACTGGGTTCTATCAACTCATGAAATGAAGGATTTACTGATATTAAATGTGGACAGGGGATGCATGGAGTCTCCGGTTTTTAGATTTCACAAACTTAAGATTCACACTTATTATGACATTTAAAGCCCGGGCTTTTCAAATTAATATCCCACATCCTTGTTTTTCATTTCAGCTTATCAGAAAAGAAAAAAAAACTTTTAGGAATGATGATGCATCGATTCTGTTTCCAGTTTTAAATGCCTCTATGATGATTTATTGTCAGTTGACTTTTGGATCCAAACTAGTTTCAAGTGTAAATCACGCTCATTATATTGTCTCTTTCTTTGGGCGGCACACATCCATCATGCTTCCCAGTGTGCGAGCTGACCTTTCCTGACCATGACAGAGCCGCTCCTTGCACACAAATCCTCCCCGACTCTGTCATTCTTTACTTCCATTACGGCTCATCTTCAGGGTGTAACAAGCATCAGTTTTAATTTCTGTGCTTGTCTTGTTTATCATGCCCATCCATTTGCAGTTTCAACAGTGATTTCTAATTTGAAATATTTTTATGCTGAAGTTAGATTTTATTTATCTACAGAGAATATCTACTGTTATGGAGCTTCTTTAGTCTGAAACATCTTTAACTCAACATTTAGTGCTATTTATGTTTCTGGTTCTGTATACAATAACATAAACATTGTTAATCAAACCTCAGTTACATCTTACTGTAGTCTAAATCATGGTTGTTGCAACCTGTGTTTGTTTTTAGTTCTATTTTTCTTTTAATTCGCTTGTAAATTGTGTTTTATTATCGTTTATTTATTTATTTTTTTACATAAAAAGGGAACCCTATAGAAAAAAAAATCCATGCATCATGTTTATCAATTGTTTTATGCATTTCCTTATATTATAAGCTAAAAATACATCTAAATTGTTGGCTTTTTTTAGATTTAGAACAGATTTCATATGGCAAATATTAACTAAAATAATATGTTATGTTTTCTTAAAAAGTTATGTAATATTTCAACTCTAAATGATTTTTATGCAGCTTGACTCAGGGTTAAATGGCTCTTTGGATATGAAAACACAGCTCTTATTTAAACAATGGACTGTTGTGATAGAGGAGCCGTCATCAGCCGGGACTTAGTTATAAGTCCGTGTCAGCGTGCGCACACACATACACGTACACAATCGCTCGCTTACTTTTTGTTGCAGCTTGGGCTGGCGCCGTTAATCGTGGGTGCACACACGGTGTTCCGGTTTCATTTAACATTCACTCTAACCTGTTTATTTTTAACTAAGAATATTTTCTGCTTCTATTTTCAAACAGGGTTATTTCTAGATTGTGCCGGGAGGGAGTGACGTGATGACGTAGTGATGTCATCAGAACGTACTTGTGTTTTGTATTAAATTAAGTATTGTAAATTGATTACAAGTTTATTTTTATATTCTCATTAGTATTGTTTTGTTATTATTAGTATAATTATTGACATCATTATTTTTGTATACTTAGTTCATTTGAGTTAGAAGTATTTGCTTAGTTTTGTTTTATTTTTGCTTTCTGTGGGCGGAGCCTGTAGCTTTAAAAGCAGGCTTCTGTTCCACAGGGAGGGAGTCTGTTGGACTCCTGAGACGTCACACTGAAGGTGATGGATTCTGACTTTTGAAAGTAGGGTACTGCTCTTTTTCTGATTTTAACCTGCCTCGGACGTCCATGTAAATATTCTGCACCAGCCATCTTTGTTCACCAGAAGAAAAACTAACTCAATAAAAATCACTAAAGTGATCCCCGGCATTGGCCAGTCATTAATGTGTTTGACCAAGTCATAATAGAACCCCGTCACAACTGTTAAGAGGAGATGGACCTTAAATTCCTGCCAACCTTCTCCTGTCATCACCTCAAGGGCTTTTAAACCATTGCTGTTTATGCTCAAAGTTGTTTTTGGTAAAATGGCTTAATAAATGTTTACCGTATTTTCCAGACTATAGAGCGCAAATTAAGCCATGCCCACTAAGTTTTTTGAAAAAAAAAAAAAAAAAAGTAAATTTACATATATAAGCTGCAGCGGGCTATAAGCCGCTGATATCTACTGAACTGTCTCCCACCAAACCTGTAGGGGGAGCTCTACATATATCCCCCCTAGAGTAGGGATATAGAAGATGCTGGCTCCTGTTAGCTTGTTGGCTAGCAGCAGTATGAGCTTCTACTTTAAGATGGGGCTTTGTCAGCTCTTTATTTCAGCTTTCCAGTAGTTGAGCCCAGTCTCTTCATTGGTTCGGCAGCTTTAATGAGGCAAATACATGTCAAAATATGTGAATTTGGGTTATTTGTTCTCCGTCGTGCCTGCTGCTAGCCTGTTGTGCTAAATAAAAACTAGCCCCTTATTCTTTCATTTCCAACTTTGACTTCTCCCTCTTATTTATTTATTGTACTTTTGGGGGGGCAATTAATTGTATGCTTATTTATTTTTGGAGCATTTATTTATTTCTGTATTTATTTTTAATTATGGCAGGATTGGTCCTCCATATCCCTCTGGCAGTTAGGAAAAATCCACAGAAAAGCTCCGCCTTCTTATAAGCCACATGGTTCAAAGTGTGGGGAAAAGTAGCGGCTTATAGTCCGGAAAATATGGTAATCCTACAAGCTATTTAGCAATAAACGGCTATTAATTAGTATTTGACATAGGCAACATTATATAATATGTGTAATTGTGTAAGATTGACGGGTTAGGAAAAGCAACAGGTAGATACAACATTGGTATAAAATGGAACAATATTAAGAACCTATGTTTAAGACATCTTTGTGCTTCTTTAGCAATGAGTCATTTTAGTGCATTAAGTATTGCTAAATCTTACAGCAATGGCTGTTTTCTATTAATGTGTGTTGGGGAGAGAGGTAAAACCAAACAAAGTAGAAATGTAGTTTTTTTTCTTCAAAGTCAGAAATATATTTTAAAGACACATAACGAGATTTTAGTGGTACACCAATCTAAGGGGGTGCCCTTGTTTACCTAGGTTTGGATTCACAGTTACTACAGGGAGAGCTGGTTTTAGGGTTAATTGGGGAACTCTGCTCTATACTGTATATACAATACAATATACTTTCTCCTTAGTGGGAATCAATCACCTTTAATTTATAACAACAGATTGGGCTGTTTTTGATGTAATTTGTCAAACTGATTTCCCAGAGAATCGTTTTACAGCCACCAGAGATGATATGCATCTAAAAAGTGCAAGGCAACAATTAAATATGAAAGTAGTTTATTGGTATAAATAAAAATAAAAAATCCTTGCAGGAGTAAATCAGATTTAAATGTCTGATGGATCACTCTTGAAGGTCAAAAAAATGGCTGCAACTCTCAATTCTTTTGCAAATCTATTAATCTTTTGATTATTTTTTTTACAATTAATCAATTAATAATCTAATAGCTAAGGTTTCTGAAAGAAGACTTTATGAAATTAACAAGGTGAAAATAAAACTTTTCCTCTTGAAGAGTTCTGGATATAGCATATTGACAGACGGAAACATTTTTTTTTTTATTTGCATTAAAAATGTTTTTTTTACAATAGTGATATAGTTACTGCTGTAAGTGGGTTGATCTGACAGCTAAAAGCATATTTTACAGTCTCTATACTCCATTAAACGATTAATCACATTTAATTTGATTAAATGCTTCAGCCCTTGTCTAAAATACTTTGTACCTTGCAAAGGTGCACAAAAAAAAATCCTTATTATATTATTATTTTTAGGTTTGTCCTTCTATTATACAATGACTTTATATACAACCCCTCATATACAGTTGCCTGCAGATCCACCTGCCTGTAATGGTCTATACAGGAATGTCAGAACATGGATTGTTCTGTAAAGGTGTTGTCTTTCGTTATGACCTTAATAGCCTGCGTCAAAATGAGAATGAAAAGCCTGACGAGCAAGCATTTGAGCCCGCAAGGTAGAGCTAAACACTCTTTGCTTTCACCGCTGCTGTCGCTCAGACTTCTCTCCAGGGCTTCATGTGCCGTTATTGAGATGTTTGAAAGGGCCAGGTTATTTGTACCCTCAAAGCAAATTAGTTTCTTGTGGTGCGACGTGTTCGGTACATCAGAAAAAATAGAACAATGGAGAGCTTGGGGTATCAGAGCTGAGTGAACAGCAATCTAACCTTTTTTATTGCTTGCAGTACTTTCATTTAGGGTATGTGTATGTAATATGTATTTTTTTTCTTTTGTTGCATTGTTTTAAATGTTCATATTTAAGGGCGTTCAGTTTGTGTAATCACACATCAATTAATCATAGATTACATTCAAGTCTAGTTTTCACCTTTCTGCCATAATGTAAAGTTTCAGAAAATTAGTGTTTGACCACATCTTTTTTAAACCCAAATTCATTTTCACTCACCACTCCAAGGTAGATGGTGAAAGTTTTCTGAATTTCTATTTTACATTGTAATGTAATAATTAGGTGGATAGAGTCCTATGGTGGCAGATACTCCCACTGGACACAAACGGCGTTGTCTAAAGGAATAGAGGTCACGGAAAGATGGAAAGACTGATGAGAAAAAATAAAATTGACCCATCGTAAAAGATAAG